CAAGATAAAATTCTTAGTTTAAATATAAAATATAATTAGGATAATTGTTGAGTTCTAACAGAATATGTAATTATTAAGTTTATAAAAATTATATTATTAAACCAAAAACAAATTACGTCGTTAAATTGAATTATATTAAAATTTTGAATTAAAGAAATTACATAAAAAAACTACAACATTTATATCTATTTTTTTAATTTTTTATGATATTTTTTAATTTATATTTTATTCAAAAATAAAAAAATTATTAATTTTCTCAAAACCACATAAAACCGTATTATAACATCGACAAAGACAAATAATAAAACAAAATATTAAAATCGAGATACATCTCGCTGTATTACACGAGTATCCTTCTAGTTTTACAAAATGAAACATAATATTAACTAACAACGACTTTTTCCTAATCCTCAAAGTATTTTAAGAAAATTATATATGTTTCCTTATAAATTTATATCTTTCACATCAATGGGGCAACAACTTAACTATTGGCACTTTAAGATACAACTAGATCCAATTTTCTTAGCCTATGATTTTTTTCTACTACTTGTTGGTTTTATATATCACGTTCAATTCTTTCTATGGCACACTTTTAAACCAAAGATGTCAAGTAATGGTAATTAATATGCCCACAATCACATATAGGTGTAGGTTCTGGATTGCTTGTAGTGCTGATTGTATTATCGGTGTCGTACTTCACGGCTAAGAAAAAGAAGCTAGTTAAGCAAAGAGAGAAATGTTTCAAGCAAAATGGGGGTGTGCTGTTGGAAGAGAAATTGAAAACTATGGGTGGCATCAGTGTCAGTTGCATGAAAATTTTCCACGTTGGAGAGCTAGAAGAAGCGACTGATAAGTATGCAGAACATAAGATTCTTGGTAGAGGAGGCAACGGCATCGTGTACAAGGGAAATCTGCTAGATAATCGTGTTGTCGCAATCAAGAAGTCCCAAAGATTGGATCAAACACAAAGGGAGCAATTCATAAATGAAATGGTAATTCTTACACAAATCAATCACCAAAATGTGGTGCATCTTTTGGGATGTTGTTTGGAAACTGATGTTCCATTGCTATTTTATGAATTTGTCTCTAATGGCACTCTTCATCATCACATCCATAATAGAAAGAGTGATGTAGATAGATTGTCTTGGGATAGTCGTCTAAGGATAGCACATGAATCGGCTAGTGCTCTTGCTTATCTTCATAGTGATGCAAGAATGTCAATTATACATAGAGATGTGAAGTCTAGTAACATCCTATTGGATGAGAGTTACACCGCAAAAATTGCAGATTTTGGTGCGTCAAGGTTAATCCTCTTAGATGACCATGATCAAGTCACTACACTTGTTCAAGGGACGTTGGGATACTTGGATCCTGAATATTTGCGTACAGGCCAACTAACAGATAAGAGTGATGTATATAGCTTCGGTGTGGTTCTTGCAGAACTCCTTACAGGAAAAAAGCCCATTGCTACGAATAGATGCCTAGCAGAGCAAACTCTTGCAACATATTTTGAAAAGGCAATGAAGGAAAATCGAATGCTTGAAATTCTTGAATTTGAATTGGTAAAGGAGGCAACTTATGAGCAGCTAAAAGCAACATGTGACCTGACATGTAAATGCCTTAACCAATTAGGTGATAACCGGCCCAGCATGAAAAAAGTGGCAATACAGCTTGAGACATTGAGGAAGATTCGCAAGCATCCTTGGGTTAGCCAAGTTAACTACAATGAAATGAGTAGCTTAATGCTTGAAAATGAACCAAATGATCTTTACGAAGTTCCTCTTATCACTAATAGTGACACTTTTGGAGAAAGCAGTTCTAGCACCGGTAGAATGAGAGGCATGATGAGCGAAGTGCAAAGTCCTCGTTAACAATTTAGTAATGAATGGATGTTTTATCCACCATTCGTGTCTATTTATCATGTTTGAAGTATCATACAATTTACTTAAATATTTGAATTTATGTCAGTCCATTGTGTATTATAAAGTGCTCCATGTATAATATTCATATCTTTGTTGTGATTGCACCTTTCATACATTCCATGTACTATTATATGATTAGTTAATTTGACACTATTTTGTGTCTGTGTACTGATTGAGGACAACTTTTTAACGTTGTCTTATGCACTCTAGAGTGGGCATCCATGTTCCTTTTGTTGCTATAATTCTTTAAAACGACTCATTCAACATCCTTGTTTCTCTCCTTCATCGACATCTAGCCCTACTGCCCCCTCCTCAATCAGGTTGTGATAGTCGATTGGAGAATTAATTGTCCCCTACCCTTTTGGTATTGGCACCAACTCAAATTGTTCAATAGGCGATGAGTTTGACATTCACTGCAACACTTCTTTAGCTTGGTGCCTTACAGGGTTCAGACATCGCAAACAGTACAAGGTCTGTTACTCCATGCACATTTCCCTTTGTTGGTGAGGAGGATGTATTCAAGTTCAATGGTGCAACATGAATAATTCTCCTTCGTCGATAGGGTTGAAGCTAATGTCCCAATAGTGCTTGAATGGGCAATTGGTCATTTGAGTTGCAGAGAAGCCGAACCAACGGACGATTTTGCTTGCCACTCAAACAGTATGTGTGTGAACTCTTCAACGAAACCGATGGGTACCGTTGCATCTGCAAAGAAGGCTATCAGGGAAATCCCTATCTATCTCTGGGTTGCGAAGGTACACTTTAAGTTGTTTTCCGTTAATCAGTTTAAATTTTGCAATGGTTTGAGTCATTCTTCGGATCTTGGTTGGTACATATTTTTTTTTCTTCATTTTATGCGTCGTGGACCTTCATTTTCTTTTGCATGACACCACTTGATATCAACAAGTAGTGTAAATATCAATAATATTGTTAATTAAATAATAATATTAATGCTTGGGATACCATTTTTTATCAACGACAAGTGCAAATGTCAATAAGCTCATTAAATAAATTTTTTTGATGTGGATATCAAAATGATGGGAGGGCTTAATGACATCGTCAATAACGATGTTTGTAATACTTACCTTTTATTAACTTCAAATAAAAATTATGAACTATGGCAAACATTAGTCGTAGTTTTGAACGAAAGAAAACTAAAACATAAACAAGTAACATCAATTGATTTTAAAAGTTATTACTTAGAAATGATATAACATCAATCGAAAGATAATAAAAGTTACCACATATATATAGAAATGATCAATCAGAGTTAATAAAATTATCAGTAGAAAAAAATGTATTTTAATAGTCATATAAGATGTTAACCAACATTGTAATTTGAAAACAAAAATTGATATTATTACTTAGAAACTAAAATAAAGAATTATTTGATATAAGATGTTAGATGATATCCATAACAACTTTAGTGTTTTATGCTACTCATCAAGCTAGAGTTGTATTGTATTGTATTTGCCTATTTGGGCACTGGGAAAAGATTTACTTTAATTAGGGTTTAATGCTTTATGCTATGAAAAATTGATAAATGTTTTTTTTAGATATCGATGAGTGTAAAGATGTGGAGAAGTTCCATGTCACGGAACTTGTGCTAATACTCTAGGGAATTACACATGCAAATGCAAACGAGGATATTCTTGTGATGCTAAGATTCACGATGGTTGTCGACATAA